GTCATGACCTTTGCTTTCACACAATCTTCAAAGCAGAGATTGTAGAGTAGGTTATTTTAGAGGACACACTGTTTTGCAGGCTCTTTTTTCTGTGTCTCTTGCTTCCTGTTTGAGCCAAGAGCTTTTAAAATTTTCCTATCACCATGACATTTTAGATATTCTTTCCTCTTCCTCACCCCCAAGATATCCCTTTACAAAATATCACCTCCAAAATACAGAAAGCTTAAAAAAAGAAGATAAAAAGTAGAGAACTTAAAGCATCTGTTTAGCAGAAAGAAACTAAAGACATTTTACAATGATGGAAAAAAAACCAAAAGGTTTTAAAAACAACCAAACTTGTTTGGTTGTCTGTAGGAAAGACAGGCCGGGGCAGACAGGCAGGGGGTGTAGTTATTTACGTCAGTGATAGGCTGGAGAATATGGAATGCTGCCTGGGGAGGGGCCAACTGAGAGTTTGTGGGTTACAGTCAACAGGAGAACTGCGATGGGGGACATTAATGAGGGGGTCTGCTACAGATCACCTGATCAGGAGGACTCTGTAAATGAAGCACTCTACAGACAGATAGGAGCTGCCTCACACTCGCAGGCCCTTGTCCTCATGGGGGACTTCAACCATCCCGATATCTGTTGGAGGGACAGTACGGCCCAGCACAAGCAATCTAGGAGGTTCCTCGATTGTGTGGAAGACAACTACCTCCTGCAAGTAATAGAGGAGCCAACAAGGAGAGGTGCCATGCTTGACTTCATGCTCACCAACAGGGAGGGGCTGGTGAGAAATGTGATGCTCCAAGGCAGTGCAGTGCAGTGCAGATGCTTGGCTGCAGTGATCATGAGATGATCCTTAGGGCAGCGAGAAGAGCGTGCAGCAAGCTCACTGCCTTGGACTTCAAGAGAGCAGACTTTGGCCTCTTCAGGAGCCAGCTCAGTAAGGTTCCATGGGATAAAGCCCAGAAGGGCAGGGGGGCCCAGAATGGTGGTTGATATTCAAGGATCACCTGCTCCAAGCTCAGGAGTGCTGCATGATGACTAAAAGGAAATAGGGCAAGAAGGCCAGGAGGCCTCCATGGATGGATAAGGAGCTGCTGAGAAAACTCAGGAGGATAAAAGAAGCTTATAGAAGGTGGAAGTAAGGACAGGCAGCGTGGGATGAATAGAGAGACTTGTCAAGGAAACTAGGAGTCAGGTTAGGAAAGGTAAGGCCCAATTAGTATTGAGTCCTGCCAGAGATATCAAAGGTAACAGGAACATCTTTTATAGGTATGTTGCAAACAAAAGACAGGCTAAGGATAATGTGGGCTCTCTCCATAAGGAAAAGGGAGAACAGGTTACCCTTGATTTGGAGAGGGTTTAGATTCTCAAGGACTTCTTAACCTCAGTCTTCACTGGCAAGTGCAAAGCGTCTGACACTGTCCCACACAACATCCTTGTCTCTAAACTGGAGAGACATAAATTTGATGGATGGACCACCCAGTTAATAAAGAATTGGCTGGATGGCTGCACACAGAGAGTTAAGGTCAATGGCTCAATGTCCAAATGGAGACTTGTAACGAATAGTCAATGAGAAGTTCAGGTTAGACATAAGGAAGAAGTTCTTTAGTGTGAGGGTAGTGAGGCACTGGAACAGATTGCCCATCCCTGGGAGAGTTCAAGGCCAGGATGGACAGTGACTTGGGTGATATGGTCTAGTGTGAGGAGTCCCTGCCCATGGCAAAGGGGTTTGAACTCGATGATCTTAAGGTTCTTTCCAGCCCAAACTATTCTATGATTCTAAGTTTGCCTATAAAAATTCCACAGAAAGGAACTGTCCATTTTCTTCTGTCCAAACAAAAATTCCAGTAACAAACATAGAAAAGTTTTCATCAATTTGTTCTACACATTTGAAAGGCAGAAAGGAATTAACAGGGATGGAAAAAAACATAGCTTTTGTAAAAAAAAAAGAAAATCACACTCACATGTTTCTTAGAAAAAAAGAAAATTACTTTGTGAAAAAGTCACAACAATATTTTTGTATAAAATCTATTTATAATGAAAAACTAGGGAAACGTTTTAATATTAACAGTGATAGAAAAGGTATAACAACAGATTACCTGAGATACCAGATTGTAACTTCTTCACAAAAAGCATAGTTTCATAAATTTTCCAAGTATTTATAAGAAAACCTGATTATTTTTAAAATGTGTAATATTTTTTATCTCTGTTGCTAATATCACAGTAAATCACTGGACCTTGATTTGTTAAAAATTTGATTTTCCGCACTTTTTCAAGGTTGAGATTTTGGGGTTTTACACATCGTTTCAGTTTGTTAGAATGAGAAGATTAAGTAAAGCTTTGATTTCTAGCACCTTTCTCTTTCTGGTTGAGGAATTAAATAGACTGAACTCTAATTGAACTCAGTAGGAATGAAATTAAAGCTCAATGAAAAATGAAACTGTGGTTCCAATGGTCACTGCAAAAATTTACTAGAAGAAGTTCCTATTCAGAATAAAATTTTACGGTAAAGCAAAATGTCTATATAATTTGGCTTCACTGAAATGCAATCTTTTGATGATTTATTTGTGACAAATTTTCTCAAAAAAAAAAAAAAATTTAGGAAAAAGAAGTTACTCCAAACCATAAAAAAAAAAGATTAAGGCCATATCAGACATTTGCTTTTGAGACTTGAAGCAATACATTTGATAAAATACAAATAATTTCTCACTCAGGAGAGCTTACTGCTGCTAAATCTGTGAGATACATCTGCAGACTTCAGAGAAGGAAGAAAAAATTGTCCTAGACGCTTCAGAACATGTATTCAAAACTCTGATTTAGCTATTCAGAATAAAATTAGCAGAGTGTTTCTAATCAATTCCACCATGTAGGTGAATACATTTCCCACTAGATAAAGAAACAGACAGACAGACATTTTGGGGGGTTTTGAGTCTAATGTTGACTTAGAAATGCATTTCATATAGTGTAACAAATAATTAGAGAAAACGATCAGAAAGATTTAATTATTACAGCAGAGCCACAAATCATTCAACTAATTACAAGACCATTCTTTTTTCTTTAAAGAGTTTTAATTAACCTAGTTTAATTTAAAAAAAAAAAAAAAGAAAAAAAAAGAAAAAGAAAAAAGAGGGGTTGAAAAACTGAGGGCAAAAAAAACTGAAACAATGTTGCAGTTTCAAACTGCATGAATACAATCACTTCACACTTTGACACGGTGGTTTGCCATGAGATGACCTAAAACTACCTTGACCTCCCTGAAATCAACATTTTTGCACTGAAATGAAACAACAGACATTCTTGTTTTGATGTATGGCTGTGTGGCATACTATAAATATTACATCACATAACCACAGAGGATGTCAATCAATAAAGAATTTTTTCAGACAGCACTAAATGAACCATGGGTTCTTGCCTCTGAATGGCTCCTTTAATGTACTACTTTTGCTTAAATGATTAATAGGAGACATATTGTCAGAAAACATACTTAAAGTGAAAAACAGTAAACTGCAGAAATATAATTCATTTTTTAAGCAATTCTCTAGTGCAAATGTCACATAAATTTACATAGAGACAGCACTTTCAGACTCTTGCAAGCTGGATAGTAGGCATACCTTCCACTTAAGTGTGAAAGCAATGGGAAAATATTTTATTGAATTTAGGCTGCTCTAAGTGGTGAAAACCAAAACTCCACAGGTAAACTGGATTCAAAAGTTGAATCATTACAAGATGAAAGTATTTAGGTTAAAGATAACCTAGAAATCCAGCTCAAAAATTTAGAACAAAATAAAAAACATATCCATACTCAAGACTGCTGTGCTGCTGTTTCATCCTACAGCATTTTCAAGCAATAAACTGGTGCATGGAATTCACGCCATTTCCCAATAAACCTGCTTTTAGTCTTTGTCACGTTGTATTGTGTTATAATAACTCCTACAGCAGAGTTTGGATTACATGAAGATAAAATCAGTGGTTTACTATATAACTCTGAATACTGCAGGTGATCTGCTGATAAAAAGTAAGCTCAGGCCCTGCAAAGTTACAGCATGGTGACTAGTGCTGCTTGGTGCTGCTTTGCTCTGACTTGCCTCAGACAGCCATTTTCAGCTGATGTGAAAAGTACCAGCACACAGAGACTGAAACCCTGTATCAGACATTAGCAAGGAAAAAGAATTCCAACTACTTCTCTGGTTTTTGTCGGTTTGTTTTTGGTGGTTTTTTTGTGGTTTTTTTTTATAATTGCTTGTGTTTAAAGTTATAAATAGGAAAATTATGTCACTTCAGCAGATATTCCATAGATTTTGGACATATACTTACAGTCACCAGACACAAGTAACTTTATTTATTAAAAAACAACCCTTGCAATTTTTTGCAACATTTCAGTTGGATCAATTGGACATATGGTATTTTATCAGGCTTCCATATTAATTTCCAGATGACCTTTTGTGTAATCTAGCTCATTAAAAAGGCATTATAGTGATATTGGGGGGGGGGGTATTTTAATCTAAACACTAACCACTCTGAGTAAAGCAGCACAACATAGGAGTCCTTTCTTCTATGTTCTTTAATAGTACCTTAGAGATAATAGTGCCTAGAGAAGAAACTCATCACCATAATCCAATGTTAGCAGAAGACAATGCAACTGGCTGAGTGTAGTGATCGGGTTTTTTTATTGACTGTCATCCTTCGCGTACATTAAGTGTTGCTTTACAGAAAGGCAGGCTTCTAAGTAGGCACCTATGAGCACTTACATTCAGGAAATCCTGTGCACACCTGCTCAACTCAAACATGAGCTGTACAGCACTGAAATATTTTTTGAAATGGGTTCCTGAGAGTGATCTCACCAAAATGGTGTTATTCAAATTCCCAGGTGTTTCATTGCAGAATATGAAACAATGCTTTCACAATAGAGTGCAGATCTGGTTTGAGACTCGGAGTTGGTTTCAGTTCAGTATTTCTCCAGTAACAAAACAAAAGTGACATACCTTACCACATTTACAAGTGGAAACACTAACCTGTACCTCTGGTAGTCATCTTCATCCTTCTCTTTGCAGACCAGCTCATTTGGGCATGCCATGTTTCCAAGCAAACTGAGATACTGTAGTGAGGGCACAACTTCAGCCAAATGGTCCAAAAGGCTTTCTAACTCTGTTATGTTTCAAAGGTTGTGGGTTAAGGATTCAATGACATTGATGAAAAAAGCATTTAGAATTGCACCACTCCTGATATAAACATACATTTCAATAACTGACAATCAAGTTTAGTATGGCATTTGGGAAAATGTCACATTAATTGTTCCAATGGCAAACAAGGATAAACTTCAGTCATTTTTTTGGCATGAAACGAAAGAATTTGGCTGTTTTGTCATTCTTTTCTCCCCCTTTCTTTCCTAGGTGGTTCAGTAAAAAACATTAAAACTTTGACAAAATGATGGATGCTGTGCAGTAAAATGGCTAGCAATTGCTGGAGCCATGAAACTTTTCCAGCATGGAAACAAACAGTTAGTTTCACAGCACATTCATCACTAATATATTCAGTCCACTGGAAAATGAGTTTAAGAAAAAAAAAAAAAAGAGAAAAAAAAAAAGTCAAATGACAACAACCGACATTCATTCCCAGCATAAAAATATTTTGAATGTCCCAGTAACACATTTGTAACTACTCAATTAGTATATGTCAATTAATGCTTCACTAAGTGCAACTTAAAGACTTCAGTATTACAAGTATTTTATAGATGAAGCTTTAAAGTCCTCTAAAGCACATTTTTTTTTCATTAAAATAGCCTTATAATTTGGTGTTCATGAGGCTTTTAAACTACATTCCTCAGAATATAAGTAATGACAATACACCTTTGATATTGTAAACTATATTAAACAATATAATCACTGCAATATTGGAAATCACAGCTAGGTTTATGCATAACAATATTCAGCCATTTGCACACTGTTGATTGATCAAATAAATTAATTTGGTAAACTATAGTGTGACAGTCTCCAAGGCTCAAACTATACATTTTTATTTTTTTTTAATTTACATGCAAAGAAAATGGTGTGATTCTCAAAAGAGAAGTCATACATATGCATGTAAGAAGTTTTCATTGTTTAAAAACTGACTTAGGCAATAATAATAAATTATTTTAAACCATTAAAAGGCATTTAATCGCTGTGGTTTTATCCACTCCCACTGTTAGAGACCACAACTATTGTCTTAAATCCTCAGTTCACTCGTGTTGTTATTATTTATACTTGATTTATGTGTTTCTGTTATCTTTGTTATTTTTAGCTGATGGAACTTGCTTTATTTCTTCACCCCAATATCTTAAGGACAACAGAAGCAATACAGAATGGAAAGAGCAGCTTCACTGTTAAAAATGCAGCCTTCCTTTTACAAGCCTTAAGTTTTATTTTATTTCCAAACACACATGGGTTTAATGATAATAATTACTAATATTAATAGATGAAAATAAGTGTATCTACTCTTAATGTTCTGTCACATAAGGCATAAAGAATCATACTCAAACACTTTGTATGAATGAGAAAAATGAAGGCTTGAAATTAGTTCTATGAATTAACTAAAAAGGTAAAAATGCTTTTAGTTTGGCAAAGCCATATTATGGAATGTTATATGCCAGCAAGTAATCAACCAAAACCTAAGAAAATAGTCTTTTTGTAGCACCATCAGATACTAATGATTTTTGGTAGCCAGGATGAATTCCCAATTAAAGTCTGGTGCTAATTCTCATCTTCTCATATCTGGACCTCAAGCTTTGAATAAACTTTTTTATGGCTTTTTCAAGACATATGTGACTGTGATGGGAAGGTCACAAGCTGTTTTTCCACATATGTTCAAGCGAAAGCCTTTTTAAAAGTTTCCTAAGACTGTTACATACATGCTTGAATCTGGCACCCTGCCTCAGACGGGAGAAACACTTAATTTCTTGAAGGATGGCTTAAGTTACAAAAAGATTCCCGAGAGAAATAGTTTATTATTACAAAAGATGATTTCCATAACAGCAAACTCACACAGGGTTAGCTATTGAAAAGCTTAGATTGTATCTGGCCATTACCTATCAAAAGGATAAAAAAAAACCAAACCAAACAAACAAAAACCAAACCAACTAACCAAAAAACACAACAAGCCACCACCCAAACTTTTTGCCTCTTCTGTGGAGTAAATATGCAGAATACCTGGCAATTCAGTAGAGCTTTTTCAGGGGTAGAATCTTTTCTCTTCAACAATTTGCTGACAAGCGTTCTAACTCCCATCTGACCATGCAGACTTAAAGGCAAATATGAAAATGTATTTAGATATATAATGATGAAGAGCAGTGTCAGCTTAGATTTGCAAAAAACTGTGAGACTATGCATCAAAGTCCTACAGAATGCAGGCAAAAGGGAGACAAAACAAATTCAGTAAGAGCTTTGGGTACATAACAGTATTTGGTAAACTGAATCCCAAAAATCTAAATCTCCTCAAATCTGGCAAGTAGTGTCTAGATTCTAGTATCTCATATCAAAACCCTCAGCACTGATTTTAGATGCAGAAACACCTCCCTAAAAATTTTATGACAGAGGTGACCAGGAATCTCACACAGACTTCTTACCATGCAGTTCAGCGTGAGACTTTCCAGGCCTTTTATCATTTACTCATGTCCCTCAAATTAAATAAACATTTAGCAGCCTAGGATTACTTCCATTTCAGTGGCAACAGAAACAGAAATATGTGCACAGGACAAACCCCAAGAATCTGACATAATCACCTCAAATGTAGAAGGTCACTAATTCACAGAAACGTTGAAGTTTTGGAGGCTTGGACAGCCCCAAAATACTAGGGCACCAGCAACACCTGAGAACAAACCAACCTGTGGCTTATCATTATCAAAAATGATCTGTTTTGTGACAGAATCAGCAGTTACAGCATAAATAAAATAATTAAAAATCCTGTTCTGGAGGCCTACAACAAATCTAGAGAGGGATTTTTTACAAGGGCATGAAGTGACAGGACAAGGGGGAATGGTTTTAAGCTTACAGACAGCAGATTTAGATTAGATATTAGGAAGAAGTTCTTTACTGTGAAGTTAGTGAGACATTGGAACAGGTTGCCCAGAGAAACTGCGGATGCCCCAGATTCCTGGCAGTGTTCAAGGCCAGGCTGGATGTGGCTTTGAGCAACCTGTTCTAATGGAAGGTATCCCTACCCGTGGCAGGTACTAGAACTACCAACCCAAACTACTCTATGATTCTATGATGTAAACTATTTTTTCTTGTACCTCTTAACAAAAAAAAAAAAAAAAATAAAGCAAGGTACAGATTATTATTCCAAGAAACCCCATCTACCTGCCATCACAGTTATTCTTTACAAAGCACATAGGAAAAAAATAATTATATCCCATTCAAATTCTCATGATTGTTTCTCAGAGATGAGTCATAAGACATGATGCAATTCTGGTGTACTGTTAATTAGCATGTCATATATTTATTTTAATCACAATACTGTAACTATATGATGCCATCAAAAGTGTAAAGGCTTTTTAATACAGTGCTGGAAAAATACAGAAGGAGAAAATCATAAGCAAGTCTGAAACTTTCCTGCCAGCTTCCTTTTTATGGTTTATTGTGGCAGCGTAAGGAGTGCTATATTGGTGCAGTCAGACCCAAAGAGTTGCAAAATCCTGCTGTGCCATTTCTAAGATCAATTTCAGTTCCATTTCCTCCAAATAGGAAAACCACAATTAAATGCATGGACAGTGCTAGTTAAATTTTATTTATTTAAATTTCTTTGACAACAGCCCTGAACTGGTCTTTCTAAAGTCACCATTTCACCAGGTGAATAGGTAACAGTGATGCAAAGACTACACTAAGGTCTGTTGTTTGAAAACTGGTTGAATGTGTCACTGTGATGACAATTAAATTACCTTAGTGTAGTAATTCCACCTCTTAATTCAACAGTGTCATCACTACCAATCTATCGATGCCTCTTTAACAGGTATTGACTAAAATAAAAACTTGTAACAAAACTTTTAAACCCTTTAGCTCTTTAGCTAAATCATTCCTTCTCAGCAATTATACAGAACAATGGCCCCTCCAAAAACACAACCTGGCCTCCATGAATAGTTCACAGAAACATACTAGACATACTTTAAAATTCTGTCTCATCAAAAGACTATACTGATTTTCGGCACTATTCCTAGTTTCAAATTTGGGAAACACTCAGATTAACTTTTTTATGTCTCATCATTATGTTACACTTACGTACACTGCACGTGCATATTTACAGTAGACTGTTGACAGCATACATATGCACACGCACACACAACCATGTCACCATATTTTCTGTTCAGAAAAACAAATGCTACCAGCAATATTAAGACATTAGCAATATAATTATTTAGAAAATGTAGTACTATGGTAGGTCCAGTTAAGCTGCAGTGCAATATAGTTTTACGTAATCAAAAATATCCTACAAATAAGAATCTTCTGTCTTGTCTATTTTCACTCATTATCTGGTACCCAATACTATAGTTTCTGAGGTTCTCCAGAATACAAAAAGAATAAGCAAAATCCAAAGCAAATTATGTACCTCTCTTCTCTGGCTAAGCAAGACCATAATATTTTTGTTTATTTGTTTTGCAGAAAATCCTGTAGCCTGCATTAAATTTCTAGTGCTAGCAGGACTGTTGTTCATTACAAACCCTTCAAGGATTAGTTCCACAGTATTCCAGACTACTACCGAGGAAGGATTGCTGTGATTTAAAAGTTACATTGTCCCTAGAGAATATTACGTTTGAACAATGTCAAAGGTGTAAACTTCAAGTGGATAGTATAATGTTACTTTGCTTAGTAAATTTTAGAAGAACCTCACAAGCAGAGACAGATATTTTGATGTTGACCTGTGTCTTGTAACAGTTAGCACAATAAAATGACCATTCTGTTACACTTTTAAGAAGCTGTGCACATTAGAAAATACACACAGAATGTACACAGAAAATACTGGATGATGTCTTACATGTTCCGCTATTCCAGACCTCTGTATTCTCAAGAGACTCTTTAACTGTGTCCTTTCAATAGTCCCTCCAGGACATATCCAAGGTGCAGATGCTGCATGAATCCTTTATATAGATTAATATAAGGGCCCAGCTGCTTTAACTACTGAGGA